CCCCCCCCCCAGCTCAGCATTGTCAAAGAGAAGGGAGGGTTCACTCTAGCACCTCCCAGCTTCTGGCCTGAAGCACATGTGCATTTCTTGAATCAAAAGTGAATGTCTATCCACTTGCAAATCAGTTCAAGTGGTGCAGGTTAAACTAGCCTGCATAGATTTAATCAATTTTGGCTCCAGCTTGAATATTTATACTTAGCCTTCATGACTGCAGGCCAGAAGAGGTCAGAGGTGGGGGTTAAGGGAATGGGGTGCTAGGACCTGCCTGCTACAACCTCTTCTCTCTGCAGTGGCAAGGAGAGAGGATCTGCAGCTAAAGCCTCCCTTTGCTGAATGCTGCCAAAGGCACAAGTGCATGGGCCAGATCTAGTGCCTTGCAGGCTGTAGGTTGTTGGCTTCTACTTTAGTCTATACATAGCGCTTCTGTCTTCTGATTTGGCCCTCATCTCCTGACCTGTAGTGAATCAGAAAGTGATTACAGAATGAATAAAATGAAAGAATAACATTTAGAATAATAAAGAAAACATTGAAGCACAGGTAATTGGTTTTAAGTAATCTGATCCAGCATTCATAATAATAAACAACATCAGATACAAGAATTTGCAGGTTTGTCGGTTATCCCCTTCCATAAACATTAAACTCATTTTTACTACAACAGGCCTTCACCACTCACCTCTGATGTCAGAGGATGGCTATGACAAATTTAATCCCTAACACTATATCTGGAGAAGCAAGGAAGTTATTATCCTTGAAAGTGAAATGAATGGCATAGCTCTTTCTAATGTTCCACAATATGTGAACGAACTGTAAAAGGAACATTTTAGATTATTTAGCAAAACCTTTCTGCCTAGGGTACAGTTCACATTTGTTCACCATTGTTAATGTGAGGAATTGCTGCTAAGCCATCACTTCATCAGTTATCATTGCAGGGATGAATTGTGCAAAGTAAAAGTTCATGAATCTTTCAGGAAGGTCTTTCTGAAAACAGTCTTCACTCTTCAGTTTCAATGAGAACATTTTCAGGATCTGGATTATACTTAGGGAGAAATTTTCTGTTCTTTAGAACAGGACTTACTGCAACCAGAGGATAAATTGCTCCATAGTTCCCTTGAGCCTTGATTTGTGGAAACAGCAGCTGGAGTTTTCAGCTGCATATTACCTAGTGGACAGATCTGATTCAGCAGCAGGTGTTAATGTAGCAATTAAAGGGAAAATGCAATGTAGAAGGCAAGTCATTTAGATGACATGAAAAGTAAGGAAATATCAGATACAGTGACTTAGAAGAAATAAAACTCCTTATAGCGTTGGTTCAGTTAATCCTAATGATTCAAATATGAACTGGTTTTGAACAATGGAAGGCTACAATAGTTTTATAAAGAAATGTTTGTTTTAAAGATGTCATCATAAAGGGCAGTAGAAAACTATATGAGAGACCAAAATCTTGGCTTGGAAGAGTCCATCTAATAATTTTTGCTCTGCTCACTTTTTTAGTTTTTATTGAGTAAAGGAGAACCCGATGTTTTAATACCCAGGTGGTTCACAAACCATTTAATTCACAGGGGGTTGCAAACTGGAGGACGAGCTGTGCCATTGATTGCTGTGGCTTTTACTTCTCCACTAAGCTGGAGCTCATCACCAGTCCCACGCAAATGATCAGAAAAACAGCATGCTTTGAAATAAAGCTGCAGCAAACAGCTGAAGCATCTCAGGGGTCCTGCACAACATAGCTGTGGCTACATGGACCCTTGGCTAGTTCACAAACTCTCATCTTTGTGAGGGGGAAGAGAGCCTGTGGAGAATCCAGCTGTTATTGTGTTCACAAAATTTAGACAAAGATTTAAAAAATGACTAAGTTTTTTCATCACTTTTGATATTGGCTTTGGGCAAGAGCTGCCAGACTCAGGAAGGCCTTTGACTTTCCTTCATTTCACATTCTTGCCAATAGCAACTGTTCTCCATTTTCCCGTAGGTAATCACCTAAGAGTGAAAGGGTCAAAAGTAAATTGAGCAAATTACTATGTAATCATGTATAATATTAAGCAATGTAAAATATTTTGCTAAAAAATACTAGCTGTGCTGTAGTGAAATCCCACAATGTTATGCAAATGTGATCTTGAGTAGAATAATGTGGAGTATGCATACGTAGAGATTACGCATGAATGCATAATTGATTGACTTATATAGTCTCTGATTTTTAGCGCATGCCTGCCTTGTGTCCTAAAAGAACTGAAATTTTGATTGAGGCTATGAAATAAAATGCAGAGAGAGATTCAAACAGACTGGCAGATTGACATAAACTGATGGAAAAATAAATTGAAACAAATCACTTTCAATGGAGCATCCTTATTTAGTCTGTTGCAGTTATTCTGCATGGACACATTCTGAATATGTATAGATAGATAGAGGGAGAAATTCATGTTTTATTTGCTTATGTAAATGAATGAACCTGAAGACTTCAAACTGATTTGGTGAAACCTTAAAAACCTGTTATAATTAGCAAGGCCAGAAAAGACCACTCAGCCTATTGAGTCTGACCCCAAATACTTTGCTAAACTATTTCCTATCAATATCTTCTGTCTAGTTTATTTTTTAATACCTCATGTAGTTAGAATTATATCACCATGAAGACTTAGCAAATCACCCATAGCAAGTTATTTATTCTATGAATATTAGGCCTGTGTGAATAGGCAACTATTCGATCTGGATTTGGCCAATTCAGATGCATCTGATTTGATTCAGAGATCTGAATCGCTTTTCTGATTCAGTTCGGCCTAATCAATTTGGAAAAGATTCGGCGATTTGGCCATAGGGTATAATGGGGAATCAATGAAATATCTATAACGTTGTTTTTTGGATGATTCAGATGAAACTTGCAGGGATGGTAGCTGCTGCTGAGGGCATGAAGTCTGCCAAGTTTCAAGGTGATAGGTGTAGGGGAACCACTTCAAAACCTTAAAATGTCCTTGGAAAAGTCTTCTGTTTGAAATAAAGATATGTTTTTATAAAGGATTTTTTTCCATGTGCGCGCGCGTGTGTGTGTGTCTATATATATATATATAAACTCTAGTTTGTGTTCATAAACCTACTCTAATCTTACAGCACGATACTGCATCTCCACACTAACAAGCTCTGTGTCCCATGGTAAACCATTGTCTGATGAAACAGATAGCACTGGTGTACTGAGGCCTCAGTGGTTCTTAGAGGAAAGGTAATATTGACATTGATGGAATAGATGAGGTACTGTCTTGCTGACTTTGTTGTTTTCATACTATTCTGCAGAGCTTTGCTGCAATAACAAGTACATTCTAAAAAACACGGTAGGATTATTGGAATAAGCACTTTTGAAAACTCAATCATATGCACCTTCCAAGGAAACTGAAATAGACTTCCAGCTTGCCCAAATATGCTGAGATCCATCCAAAGAAATATTACAATACAGTGTTCTTATAGAAATTAACAATTTCATCTCCCCAAAAGTGAAATTCTAGGCTGTGTCGAGCCCTAAAATCTTTGGTATTATGTGAGTTTAACCTGGGCCCTCTCCACTGGAGTACATTTCACCCTAATGGACTCTATTCCCATTAAGGGCTATGGAGTTTATATTAGTAATTCCCATTTTTACAGATGAATTAACTATGTTCTTTCCTTGTTTTGAACATTTACAGCTGTTCTTGGCTTGGCAAAACTGGTTCATTACTTGTAAACTCTGTCATCCTTTATTTTAGGATTCACAGTTTGCTTGTGTCCCATTCATTAAGAAACCAAAACCTTTCCCCCCCCCCCCCCCCCCCTCCACAACAAGCCCCACAAATTAATAAGGGCCCTCTGGCCTTTGCCATAAAACCACAAGTCTGCTTTTGCTTCCGTTTTCTCCAGGAGATGTTAGTTTGGCAGAAGTGTATGTCCTAGACCTAGGCACCATCTACAGATCTTGTACTTAATTCACTCATTATTTATTTTCTCCTCAGACTCTTCCACTGCATTTTTATAGTTTTGTTGTGTTCAGTCTTGCCCATTTTATCCTTCATACTTTACCTAATGTATTTATTTCTCACCTTTTTTTTCTTACACCTGCTCTTAATCTAAATGTAGACTACAAGCATCCAAAAGTATATTTGGTTCATCCATTCAAAATGACTGCGTTCAAGAGGATTTAAAATTGAGTGCAATGAGCTCCTTGATCCATAAATATTGTTCCATGTTCCACTACTACATAAATATTGTAGTAAGAAAACAGTGGTCTCATTTTCAAAGGTGATAAGCACCTGTAACTCCAAGTGAAAATAATGGGGGTTATAAGGGTTTGAGCACTTGAATCATTTAACTATACATTGGATTTTGTTGTTGTTGGTCTTGTTTGGTTATTTCATTTTTTTAAGGCAATTCCACGATACAACAACAGTTCTAAAATGGTTGCTGTATTTGTGGTCTGTGGGCCACTACTGGTCAGCAGAATATTTCCAGATGATCTAACGGAGCTAATAGGTCACAATACCTGTGGTCACAGTACCTTGTTTCTCTCTTTTGCTCAAGGCTACTTCTGTAGTCATCCAAATTCTTCACTGCTTAGCAGTGATGCCTATGGAGGAGAGAGAGGGGAACAGAGCATATGAGGGAGAGAGGTAAAAAAGAGCAAGTGTAAACTGTGATTAATTTTTTTTCCCCCAGAAAGGACAAAGTACTTGTCACATTGACAGGTAAAATATGGAAATGCTTTTCTATCATTACTTTTCCATGCAAGAAATTGCTGTAGTTGCTGAAGGGATGTTGGGTGATCACAAATGGGAAGGAAAGATTGTCCATGTGATTCTCAATAGTAACAGGAGGTCATCTATAAAGCAATCTGTCTGTTCCTATGTGGCTCATGCTATGAAAAAGGTTCACCTGGAGGATATTTTCTACTTTCAGATTTTCAGTTTTTATTTAAGTACTGCATACCATGATACTGGCATGAATCTTTCTCTCCAGTCTGATGAATGAATTGGGCCCCAGGTAAAAGCATAGGACAAAAAAGATACTTTTCCCAGCTTCATTCTATGAAAAGAAAAAAGTTTGTAGAATACTGTTTATCTCAATGTGTCATGCTCTGATATTAAAAACAAATCTGAAATAATAAGAGACAATGTTGTACAACTGGCAAACTGAACAGATTAGATCTTTCAATTAGCATGCTGATAGATCCACATTCAAACCTGTGTAGCTATTAATATGATTGTCACACAAGAATATAGATCTAGGTGCATCTCAAGATTGTCTCTCTCTTAATTTTAGGACAAGTTTCGTCTTGGTAATTTCTAAACTAACCTCAAGTCAGTGAAAGCAATGATGGCACACAAGGAACTAGCTTGAAATGCTATGGTCCCCTAGCATTGCTGTCTAGCCAGCGTATTTGCTCTTATTCAATATCACAGTTAGAGCCAAGGTTGCCAAGACATTGTATGTGGTACCTCAGAAAGTAGGTATCCTCTCATTATCTGATGTGTGCAGGAAGTATGTGATCAAAGCAGAAGCTTGCTGAAATGAAATAGTCCTTAGCACTCTAAAACTTATAACTTACTGGTTTGAAGTCAAGGAGCAAAAGCCAAAATATTTGAAGCGTATAAGCTGCACTGAAGTTCATCTTCCCTGCTAGCAATACTGTATTCATTTTTGCTGTATCTGTTATACACAGCCTCAGTGACAGATGAAAAGCACCCCACGCTGAACCAAGGTAGAAAGAGTTGTATATTCCAAGGTAGGAATGGTAGACAAAAATGAGGTAAAGGTGTCCCTCCCCAGTAACATCTAACAACAATCCCCAAGAAGGAATAAAAAGACAGGAAGTAAGCCTAGGAGACATGCCAGATCAGGACCTATGGGATGAGCTGGACAGAGCTGGACTAAGAACTCTTGGAGCAAAGACGCACGTTTCTTGTTACACTTCCCTAATAAAGCAGTGTAACCCTTTGGCCAGGCCTGGGTGGTAGTTGAAGAGACCGGTTCAAATTTGAGTGGGGTGGTGTGAGGGGGTTGGCTCAAGCCCCCACCCAGTAAACCGGGAAGATCTACCTTACTGGAGGTCCTAAAAGGACAACTTTCTCACTTGCAAGCAATTGTATAACCAATATAACAGTTGATTCAAGATAAATAAAAAATAATTAAGGCTTACCTAAACTTCCCCTTCCGCTAAAATACCCCAATAGTTAAATACCCCAAATAACAAAATACCACAAAGTATCTAACAATACCCCAAATAACAAATAACATCCTCAAACAATCAAAAGCATTCCAAATAGAAAACTCAGCCCAACCAGCAATACCCCTGTACCCCCTCCCCCCTCCCCCAAGTCTTTTCTTGTCAGCTTCTATCTGAGAACTCCCCACTCCAGGATTTCTACCTTGCCCAGTCCATAGAGGGTAGAGCTATGAATCCCTCCTGTGCCTCCTACCTCTCCAATGCCTGGCTGGAGATCCTTTCCTGCTGCCCCTCATGCTTCCCCACCACTGCACCAGGGTCGCTGCCACTGCTTCACTTTGGGGAACTTTGCTTTGGGTCTCAGCCACTGCTGCTTTAAGGAGTGCTGCCTTCTGCTTTCCACTGGAAATCCTGAGAGCACTGTTTGGATCACCACCACTCCTACCACTTTAAGGAGCACCACCTCAGTTCCCACCACCTGGGCTAGGGACAGAAATTACACATAAGTGATTGGAAACCAGTTCAATGCTGTAACACAACAGAAGTTCAGTGTGCATAAACTGTTTTCAAAATGGATTAAACTGGTTTAAGATAAACTTGGATGGACGTAGTATCAGGCTTAACTGATCTAGGTTAAATTGGTTTACTGAACTGCTGTCTCAGATCCCCTCCAGATTCAAGTTAATTCACAGTCCCCCAGCATCCCAGGATGTTTCTGCCATTTCCAGTGTTCTAAAGGATCAATATAATTTTTTCTTTACCTCATTTTTACCCTGTGCAAATTGCTGTAACCTGCTTAAGTGTATAGTTGGTCATGTGACCAGTGGTAGGGGTTCTGAAATTTTATCATCAGTCTCTATTATCCTGCAGCATGCTTGTGTAACACCACTTAAAATGATTAAGGTTGGCAGATGCCACTGAAAAGTAGTTCTTTGGACATTATTCAGTTGTACAAACCAGGGGGGTAATCAGGAGGAGAGACGATCAAAGAAATGTTTTATCCTGCAACAACCCCCCCCAGCTTGGGCCTAAACTGTCTGCTCCAGGAGAGCAAAGAGGCATGCTTTAGCATCTCCTTTCCCACTGGCTTCTGGCCTGGGCTACCACAGGCATATGTGGCTGCATTTCCATAATCAAAAGTGAATATCTGTTCACTTGCTTATCAGTTCAATCTACACAGCTTAGATTAACCTGCGAAGATGGGATCAATTCAGCTTCAGTGACTGTCTGCACTTAGCCCTGAGACACTGGTTCTTAAGCACTGTTTGGGGTTGAGCCACCACTGCTATTCAGGCAGCGCTGCCTGAGGTTGACTAGCCATTCAAGCTAGTTGCACTGCCACTTGAGATCACTATCGCCACTGCTGAAGGCGCCCTAAGATCTCAGCTCTGGCCTCACTAACGAGACCATTTCAGCTGCATCTTACTAGTGAGGATTTTCCTGTTGTAAGTGAGAACGCCCTCTAAGTGAGGACTCTGCACTGGAGTCTCCCACGCTCTGTGGGCTCTCTCCCTTTTTTCCCTAACAGCCTTGGAAATTTCCAGTCCATGGTCAACTGTGTCCTGGAGCCTGTGCGTGGTTTCCAAATAAAACAAACTGGGGAAGGAAGGCCAGTGACACAAAGATTTGGCCAGTGATACAAAGATTTAGCTCCCTTTGGCCCCTTATATTTACTTTTTTAAGGCACAACTTGGTGGATGGACACAAACAGACCCTTAATCTCTTGAACCTACATATCTAATGAGGGTATGCAAATTGCAGAACATCTACCATTGGTCACATGACCAAATACACACTTAAGTAGGGTTACAGCAGTTAGCACAGGGCCATAACACATTGCTTTTAAGTGCGTTCCCTTCTACAACAGCTACTCAAAAATGGTATTCTTGGACAGGAGTATGTTAAGTACATTAAAATGGTTTAAAATATTAATGCCTTTACTTTATATATGTCCTCGTGTTAATAAAGTTATAAGGATCATCCTTCACAATTAAGCTATTTTATCTATCTCAGGGTACAGATGCATGAACAAGTTAACTGCAAAGAAAGCTAAGGCAAGAATTTACCCTTGTTCATCACAGCTACTCCATGAATACTGGAGTAACTCAATGCAAGTGGGGTAAGCTACCTCCTGTGCTGTGGAACAAAAGTATGCACACAAGTAGTCACAAAAGAATGGCTGATGTGTTGCCAGTTCAGGTCCTACCTTCCCTTGCAGCACCTTGTTCATGTACATATACCCTCAGATATAAGCAGTCTGTTTCTAAAATGACTCTGTGAATACTTTTCAAGGTCAATGAGATGGTTTCATGGTAGCAATGTGTACTTCCCTTGATCTCTGCTAATCCTTACAACCTTTACTTGTAGAAGCTTTTTGAAAGCCATTTGGAATAGAACAAATTTCAGAGAAGCAAAGGTCAGATCTAGCAAAAGCGTTTGTGGTATTTGGATCTTGGCCCAGACAGTCATTCATATTTGCAAGACTACCTACCAAGAGGGTTGACAAATCCTATTTCCTAAAATATAGTTAGCCCTAGGAATTTGAAAGAACCCTCCATGCTATTCTTTCTCCTTCTTTAGAGCAAAAGCATTTTAATAAATGTATTTAAACGTAAAGTTGCCTTTACAGGATAAAAAATAAAAGCAATGGATTATTTTCCTAGTAACTCTGCACTCTTTAACATTATAAAACATGCACAGACTGTAGCCTGGGACAGTGTTCTCAGGGGAAGGGGGAGGTCACATTATAAATGGTTGTATAACTATTTAGAAAGTTTTAACTGATCCTCCTCCCATTGCCATCATCAGCAAACTTTTGTTGACTTCTCTGGGAGAAGAACTGGGCCCATTAGCTGTGCATAGTAAATTGTTTTAAACTCCAGCTCTTAGCTGTTAATTTAAAATTCAATATGTCTTTCTGCTTCTCAAATTCTCATCCCTAATGAGGGAGCCTGCCAGACTAAACGAGGGTTGGAGAACATCAATGACACTCTAAAACAGTAGTGACAGCTGAGGAGTCTGAATGGACAGGTTGGTTCAGCTGGAAAAAAAACAAAGAAAAAAGGAGATCCTAAAGAGAAAAAAATAACTTGATGTCTCTTTTTCCAAAGCTTGATATACCCGGCAGCTCACTTGTTTTTTTCTTTTTTCATAAAAAGAATAAAGCCGATCAGCCATCCATGAAAAACTATGGAATTATCGTTTGATTAACGGCTCATACTGTCATTAGGTGATGCCTAATTATGCATCAGTGTTTGCCTCATTATGCAGTGAAGCAACATCATGGCAGATTAGTTTGTGAATTGTGAAACAGAGTCCTTTTTTGATAACTATTCCACACACTTTCTCTCCCTCCTCTCAGACAAAGCATTGAACCTTAACAACAGTTTAGCTCTGTAGCAATATCAACTCCCAAATACCCAACCTCCCAGGCAAACTCCTTGCTGCAAATGACCAAAGAGAGATTGCTTGAATTAATCTCAAGCAGCAGATCGCTTTTCTTTATCACAGTTACAGCAGACTTTCATCAGCTGTAGATTTCTAAAGACTTTAACCCATTATATTCTGTGCCTCTGATACTTTCACTGTGCTACACTTAACTTCTTTTCTTTTCAATAGAGAAAGGAATGAAACCCTCTTGAGAAATCAGGACAGTGAAAAGTTCAACCAACCCAAAGTAGGTGAGAGGATACAGGACAATCTTTGCTGATTGGCTGTTCAGGCAGATAAATAGCAAATACAGATCCAACTTTGTTAAAATGGAGGATTTAGGTCAAGACATCATAGGAAGGAGTGTATCCTCCCTGAATGGTCACACTGCACAAAACTAAACAAGAAAATGTCTTGATGTAGCAATATAAAAAGAGGAAAAAAATCAGAATAGTAGTTTGGAGCAATCAAGAAAGTTAACGAAATTGCATGGCTGCAGGAATAAGAGAAAGATGCCCAATATGTCAAACTTGTAACGATGCCTATCCAGCTTTGAAGTGTTGTTTTCAGATGAGGGTGCTATGCTGAAAAAAAAATCATTTAATTAAGTAAGGAAGCTAAACACGATACTTAAGTTTATTATAACTTAAAATATGTGTTTACTTCTAGTTTAGACTAGTTGGAATAGAAAGGCTCCATCCATTAGGACAGTGGTTGGCAGCGTTTTTTGCTTGGCAGCCCAAAATAACCCAGCTCAGGTCTGAGATTCATAGATTCATAGACATTGAGGGCTGGAAGGGACCTCGCAAGATCATCGAGTCCAGCCCCCCTGCCATAGGCAGGAAGTCTGCTGGGGTCAAATAATCCCAGCAAGGTAAGCATCCAAATGCCATTTGAATGAGTCTGGAGTAGGTGCTTGTACCACCTCTGGGGAGACTGTTCCAGACCCTGGACACTCAGACCATAAAGAAGTTTTTCCTTATGTCTAGTCTAAATTGGCCTTCCAGAAATGTGTGTCTGTTAGACCTTGTAGTCCCATGGGGAGCCCTGGTGAACAACCATTCTCCCAGATCCTGGTGCACTCCCCCTATGTACTTATAGGCTGCCACCAACTCCCCTTTGAGCCTTCTCTTCTCCAGCCTGCAGAGTGCCATGACCCTCAGCCTCTCCTCATGAGGCTTGTTCTCTTGGCCTTTGATCATACGGGTGGCTATCCTCTGGACTCTCTCAAGCTTATCCACATCCCTCCTGAAGTGGGGGGCCCAAAACCAGATGCAGTACTCCAGCTGCAGCCTCACTAAAGCTGGAGGTTAACATCCCTGGTTTTGCTTGCGATGCATTGGTGGATGCATGCCAGAGTTTGGTTTGGGATGTCACTAGAACGAGGCCCCTGCTGCTGCTTCTTCTTGCTGTTGGACCACAGCACTGGCAAAGTTCCCAGCTGTAGGGTATGCAAAGCAACCTGCTTTCCAGCTGCCATGAGGGCAAAGCCCTCACTGTTGAATGTCACTGAAATCCCTTGGTTTTGGGCCAGGCTAATCTGAACTACTCATGAAGTATGCTATACGTGTGAGGGAAGGATAACTATACTAACCCAAACTAAAATGGGGATGACAGAATATGAACTGCATGACTTCTAAAGGTCAGTTAACCTGTGCTGTTACAGGAATATAAGGTTGCCCAAATTCTATAGTGGACTTTCTGTTCTGGAGTTCTGAGGAGTGAAAAAAGAGTAAGCCTGGAGAAAATCCTCAAAATGGCCAGTACCTGGTATATAAGTTGATAGTATATTTTGAAAGAAGAACTAAAAATACATTAAAGATGGTTTCAGACAAAACACAGAAAATGTCAGCTTACTGAAAGGTATCAAAATCTACAAGACTTTTCACAGTGTCATAAATATGTAAAATTTCCCTTAGATGACACCTTATTGTCATGGATTGTTTACAGTTTTTAACAATTAAAGTTGTCATAATTCAGTTCAGTCATCAGTGTTACCTGGCAAACACAAGGGAAGCACTGTAAGCAGTTTACTGCTGTCAAGGAAAATCATGCTTTCCCTGTTTTAAGTAAAATAATCTTATTTGGTTGGCCATGTGACCTAAAAGAAACTTCAGCAATATGGAGACAAGTTATTGTATAAATATCTTTGTATGCAACCAACCTGTTAAGAAGAAAAAAAAATGCAGCAAGGTTTGTACTGTGTAATAGTAAAATCCTATTGACAGGTTCGTACTGTATAATAATGTCCAGAGAATCATCTATAGGGCAGTCCAAGTGGGTTGTTCCCCCCCAATCATGTATTTATCATATACTATGTACTGGGTCAGATCTTATCCTCAAGTTTTGCTTTTTGCCACGCTGCCAGCATAAGGAATCTTAAAGCCAATGCAGCCTGCCCCAGAAAGATTCCTAGTATAGGGGTATCCTCTAGCAACATGGAGTCATTGTAATATGCCCTATTCACTGCCCTGTGGCCAGTATGGGAGGCATGGCCATGAGTAAAAGCTAATGGGCAGATTTTGCTTACGCCCTGCTGATCCCCAGCTGGCATAATGGCCCTGGGGGCTATTAAGAGCCTCTACTAGGTTGTGCTATTTAAACAAAAGGACCAGCCAAACTCATAGTAAAAGCAGATTGGCAAAAGTGGTGTAACTGGTGCTGTATGAGCTGCTTTTGTGTATGGTAAAATGCTATGCTTGTAGGAGTATCAGTCCAAAACCTTAACATACAGAGGAGCAGGGTGGAGTCCCTTCCCTTTGATGTCTGTTCAAACTCCATCTCCTGTTTTAGTCTGCCCTAAGCACTGCTTAGCTCTGTTCTTCTGCCCACCTTTTAATTAGGATAATTATTGTATATCTTAATTTCACAGAGAATTTTTGAAGATAATTATTCTTCACTTCATTTTCTAAATCATTTTATGGTGTTGCTATAAGCTCTTAAACAGCTTCCTCATTTGGGCTAGAGGTGGCTATATTTCAGACTATCATTTTTTTATGTGGTGAGCAAAATGATTCCTCTATGTATCAGTAGCTTGTAAAGCAATTTGAAATCTTCCAGATTCTTCTTCAAAAATATATTTATAAGCTATAACTCCTTTTTCAAACATAACTAATATAGCAATTAATAACAGGAAAGTACACACCAAAAAGTAGAGACAAGCTTTAAAAAAAAGCAAGTGGGGTGTGGGCCTTTCCCAGCAGTTCTCAAAGATTCCCTGAGAATGGACAGAAGCAGGTCTAGCATCATATACTAGAAATAATGTGCTGAAAGTAATAGTGGCAAATAACAAGATAAATCCATTTTTTCTAAGTATTTCCTTTTTGTAACTAGAGAAGATCGTTCCCTATCCTGTCTTATGAGGACATTCCTTGCTAACAATCATGCCCATCAATGAAACAAAAAGCACAGTGAACTGACCCAGACAGTACTTAGGAAGGTTTTTTCATTAGACAGGTGATAGATAAATTTTCAGTGAAGAAGAACTTATGTTCTTGCAACATTTTTAAAGGGTATAAAATACAGTGGATGTGTTGATTTCTGCAAGTATCTAATCATGGCTTATGAAACAGGATTTTAGCTTTTATGTTATTTTGTAGAATTTCAAGCCAGAAGGGACCATTAGATTATCTTGTCTGAGCTCCTTTGTATCACAGTCCATTAAGTTTCATCTGGATACTCTATATCAAACCCAAAGACTTGGGTTTGATAGACTAAAGAAATTCAGGCCTCAGGGGACTATGGTGAAGGCACACAGCAGAAGAGACCAAGGTGTACAATGACCCCACAAAAACAGGGATTTTATTACAACTTGCATCCAGGCAATGATCTGAATTAGCAGAGGAAGTGTTACAGAAGGAGGTACAAAAAATCCCCAGTCTGAGCTGGGGGAAAATTTGTTCCTGACTCCAAATCTAGTAATGACCCCTGTAAGGAATGGTCCCTCTACTATAAGCAATCTAGAGTGAAATATGTGAGTTATAACCCTATCAGTTCACCTCTTTGCTTCAAGCTCTGCACAACACACTTTGCTTCCTTCAGAGCTCCCATCCACTGCACTTCTCACTGTGTTTTTGGCCACACCCTGTTCCTGGCCCTTGACTCTTGATTCTTCAATTCCTGTCCTTAGTTTGTCGGGGTTCTGACTCCAGCATCTCCCTGGGCTTGTCTCCTGGCTTCTGGCATCTAGCTGTCTACCCCAGGTCTGACATTCTGGCTAATAACCCTCACTATTGGTCTCATCCTAGTATCCCAGACCTGCCCAGCCAGTCATCAGGGTCCACAACTAGCCACCCATTAGACCATGCTACCCACACTAACCGTGAACAAAACAAGCTAGCCAGGCATCAAGAAGACATACCACCTCAGTTCAAATCCAGGCTGTACACTGTGACATCTCTAGCAGTGGTTAGCCTTCAACACACATGGCCATTTGTGCACTGGGGAGGGAGAAGGGGAGGGACAGGACTCCTCCTTGACAGCTGAAGTGTAAGATTTCAAGAGCTACAAGTGTTATGAGAGTGTTGTGGGCAATTTAAGCCATCCTGTTCTCCCCAAAGTCCACAAATGAGAGGCATGGACTAAGGCTTCACAGATTTCAAAGCCAAAAGTCACCATGACATACTCCACATACACAGGTACTTTCTCCTTGAAGCTGGATTTAAGCATCTCCTTTAAAAAGATTTAAAACTCCAAGCTAAGTTATCTCCAAACCATTGTCTTAATTTGTTCCAGTGCTTAACTGCTATCTAAGGAATTGCATCTTGTTTCAAGGTTGAATTTTTTCTAACTTCAGCTCCCAGCCCTGGAAACTTCTGCCTTTGTTCAGCAAAGTGCAACAGCTCTCTACCATCATATCCCTTTTGTAAGTATCTATAAAAGTGATCAAGTCACCTCTCAATCTTCTCTTCAGTAAGCTTTTGTTTTCCACAGTGTGAGGGTTGCTTTTCTACAATGGGAGCATAATCAATTACACAATGTATGCAAGCCCTACTGTATATACTGGACTCAGTCTTTAAGTACCTTGAGGATCAGCCTTTGCAGAAAAAAAAGGTGTCTCCTTAAAGTATTTTGCTGTCTCCCTCATCCTGGGGTCAGCCAGTTGCTTAACACATTCTAGTGCATGGTAGATAGTAAGGGTGTGCGAAACAGACCCTGCTCAATTCAGATTCAGCCCAAATTGGGGACAGTGATTCAATTTGTTGATTCGGATCACTGTCTCTGATTCGATTTGGCCGAATCTGAATCCAAA